CCTATCCCAGGGGCGGCCCGCCCGGCCATTGCCCGGGGCCTCAAGTTCCAGCTGCGAGGACCAGGCTGTGCTCCGTTCAGTTTATATGCTTCACTGGGTTGGGGGTTTTAATTGCAAATTATTTACCTGATGCTATTTGAAGGACAGTAAGTAACTTTTTTCTACCCCCCTGTGGATTCTAAAACAAGGAATTGATGTGCCCTCTGTATCTTTAGCACGGGTCCTCTCAAGTGGTCTTTGCCAAGTTCTTGGCATGTGTTTTTGGGGGAGAGGGGTTATTTAAGAAATAGAACAGCAGTGGCACAGCAGGCTGCTAACTGTGATTTCAAATGGGGTGGGTAGTACTCAGCCTGATGTGGGTTGAGATTGTTTTGAGCGTGTTCACAGGTCACTCCCTGACAGCTGCAGCACTGAAGCTCCACATCAGCTCCACCACCACACACACCACCACCCTTTACCTTGTTACCTGCTGCCAGATAAGGTTTTCCAGAAAGACCAAGATTCCTCATTTGAAATTCAGCACTCAGTGGAGTTCAGAAAAGGCCTGAGCAGTCTGTGAACATTAAACCGTGTTAATCTACAGGGATTTACATTGAGATAACAAGACATTGGATTTATCTATGTTGGGCTCATATACTGGTCAATCAGAAAGGTAAGACTGACTTTTGCGCAGCCTGGGTAATAATGCAGAGAAGTCTGCATAGTCATATCTGGCCATAAGGCATGGTAGGGTAAAGGGGGTGGGGGAGTAGCATGCTATCTGTAAGAACCTACAGATTTGATAAAGCTGCAGGTTTTGAGAAGAGACCACACTGATGAATCTATGCAGTTACAAAATTCAGCATGAAAGATGGTAAACCTATAAGTGAGTCTATGCTATCAAGTTTTGAATTAAGAATTGAGGGCAAACTTAATACACACTGCTATGGAAGTTCAGAGGCGTCAGAATTAAAATCCTATGCTTAGTCACCAGTGGCCTGTATAAAAATGGTCAAACAGCGTAATGTCAACATTTAGAGAAAAAAAAAAAATGTTGATGCTCTGTTGGTATATTAAGTTCCAGAATAGGTATACTGTCTGGCAGCCACTGAGGTAACAGTGCCACACCACTAAGCAATGGTTGCTACAGTGTCATTAAAGCTGTATGTCAACTGCCTGGTAAGGTGTTAGAGTCACTGTAAGGTTTAGATAGCAACATTTCATTGAAGTCAGTTAATTCAAAACACACTGAGCCTCAAGAGATATGTAATCACTGAACAAACAAATGAAAGTTGGAGAAAGGGAGTGAATTTACTTCAAGAGATGTTTTAAAATTAACAGATACTACAGAATTTAACAAGCCTAACTGGAATGAAGTGAACAAGTAAAAGGAAAGAAGCTACAAAAGCAAACCTTTTACACATTGGAAGATATAAAATGGCCAACCAGCTACCTCTGAAAGAATCATTGTATTGTCATGGTAAAAGTGAACAAGGAGATATGACCAAACTAAATGTTAGAAAATGTTTTTCAGCAACTTTCATTGGTGAGGTGCAATTCCTATACCAGACCTGTTATTTTTGGGTAATAATAAGAAAGTGGTCTCTATGACTAGGAAGAAGACAAATTAAAATCTTGCAATAACACTTTCATGTTTCATGATCTAAAAATATAATTGGAGGCAGACTACCTGTGTTTTACAAGGAAAATAAATTGTCTTAATAGGCTATTACTGCACTTTATAAAGTCCTCCTTTGGTTTGGGTGATGCTTATTTACAAGTTTAGGAAGAGTTTAAGAATAGCTTAACTGAAATACTAAAGCACCGAATATCTGGTTTAAAATATGTCAGGAGGTTTAAAGTGCAGAAAATACCTGTTTTTAAAAAGTCTTCTAGGGTAACATGAGAAACTATAAAACTAACCTCTGTAGGGGAAAAAGTAATTAAAAACCGTAACACCTAGAAAAACATGATCTCAAAGTGTCTAACTAGCACCAGTCTTCTGCAAAGATAATTATGTCTCAATAATGTCTACAGAAATGCCAAAGAGGTAATGAATATATAAGAACTGACAGGCATAATATAGACTTTCAAGGGTTTGGCCTAGTGGCATAACATAGAGCTCAGCAGAAACCCAAGTTCTCACTGTAAACTTGTATGCCAGTGCTGTTCCTGCCACTCAAACTACCAAGTCGAAAGGACTGCATTGCACCTGACGATAGTTTAAAAATACTCCCAAGAGACTTTTGACACAAAAGGCTACTAAGAAGAAAAAAAATCCTAGGTCAGGGATAAAATATCAACATGGACATAACGCAGACCTACATTTCTGTTAAGGGCAAAAGTTGAATGATAGATTTCCTCAATATTCTGTTTAATACTGTTTCATTGCCATGAATTAAGACTAACATTGCCATGTAGTACTATTTCACCAGTTATATGTAAGGTAAGCTTGCAGTCCACATGAATATCTGAAATGCCTCTTTCTGCTCTGATAGTCTCTGAGTTTTGGACTCTGCTGAATCATTTATTTATGAACTGAAAAAAGGAACAAGCAGAAAACCAACAAATATTAGATGACACCATTAGGTCAGTCAGGATCAGAGAGACAGCAAGAACTCAGGAAGTCTAGAAGGTAAACGAATGGGAAAACACGGTACCAGAAAATAAAATGAAATTGGATAAATGCAGGGAAATTGAAAGAATAAACATTATAATGGGGTTTACAGGATTCACACAGTTTCTCATTACAATAACTTGTCATATGAAGTCAAGCCAATAGGGTAAATAAGACATAGAATAATGACAACAATACAGAGGACATTTAAGTAGTTATATAAAGCTGAGAAATAGTCTCATTTAGGATGTGCTCTGTATTTCTGGTCACCCTAGCTCAAAACTGACTGAAATTGCAAAATTACGAGGGACTAAAAAAACATACAAAGAAGATTAAAAAAACTTGCAAGGGAAGAGATTAAGGAGACTGGGATCATTTATTTTAGGAGAAGCGTAGGAGGGAAAATATAAAAAGGTATCAAAGTGAACATTTAAGGATAAAAGATAAAGTCATAACACATGGACATTAAACAGATTGTGATTCTGCAGAAACTACATTTCTGGCTGACAGCTTGTATTTACATTTCTGTATGTTTTAAATTAATCTTTTTGTATTCAGGAAATGTTACCCTGTGTTCCCCCACTCCATTTCAACTCCACAGATTTTCTGATGTTAACTAACTGTGGATATACCTCCAAAAGCTTTTGCTGTTTTGCAGAGATAAAGGACAAATACCAATATTCAGTACCCGGGGAGCAAGCTCATTACCCAGCAGGAATAAATTTGCTCTCCAACTGCCGGCTGATATGGACATCAGGAATTTGACACTGTGCCTCGTGAGTTGTGTAGCACGAGGAGAAATCGGTATTTTGAGCCACACCTCAGACGTGTGTGACTGGAGTCAGGCTTCTCCATACCAGTCCTCTGCTGTTTCTTTCCAGAAAATTCAGTGTAACAGCGTAGCAAGTCTTTGGTAACCTGCCAAAAGACCTTCAAACTCCCAGGTATCTTTTACTTTAAATTCTAGTAGGTTTATTTCTTCTTTTTACCCAAAAGTTTCTTTCAGTTAAGAGATGAAGCTCTGTAGTATTTTCTGTTCCGCATGCAGCGTATTTTGTAGGAGAATTCGGGCACTGTGAAGGGTAGGACAGAGGGACACAAGAGTCGTGGCGGGGGGGTGGGGAGGGTGTCCTCGGGCCTCTCCAGCCCTGCCCAGCCTCCGCTGGGCCCCCACCTACACCCTGCCCCCGGGCCCAGGAGCCCCGCCTCAGTTCAGCCTGGGCCTGACAGTCCCGGCACGGGAGGGACCGGCAGCTCCCGGGGGCTGAAGCGGGGTTCCGCGCCACGAACGGAGAGACCAGCAGTTGCCGGCGGGGGCTGGTGTGGGCCCGAGTCCTGCCCGAGGGCGGCAGG